CGCCAAGCGACTTCTTTTATCATCTGGTGCCCCAGACACCACCCCGCTTCGAAAAGATTGTGAAAAGGCGAAGACCCCCTAGCCTTACTTCCTACCTGACAGAAGTCTAATGTGTTACAGTACTCCCGGGAGGACCCCTCAATTTGCCCCTGTGCTGCAGCCGCCCCTTTGCGGGGTCGGCGGCAGCGGCGGCAGCCCTTAAATAATATCCTCAAATGGGACCCGCGTCCCACACAGCGCAGGCGGCATCGCCGGCAGAAGCCCCTCTTCTTGACGCTGTGCATCCCAGGATGCTGACAATTAAACCCAGCCTGGGCCAACTCGGACGGCGCCACGTATACTGGATATTCATGGATTGATGTTAGTACATCTTCGTTTGAGAGATTATGCGATCATTTTTTGAGAAAAACAGGAATAATTGAGGGGAAAATCAGTTGCCAGAAGAGCCGAGACCCGAGGTCTGGGAACAGAGGGCTCTTGGGGGGCCGAAAACTAACTTTTTGCAAGGATGAGCTTCCAAAAAGCTGTAAAAAAAAGCTGCCAAAAAGCTGCTGGGAAACAGCTGCCAAAAAAGCTGAAAAAAAAGCTAGCTATTGGATGAAATTGGCTCTTTTCTAGGAAAGCTGAGAAAAAAGAATGCTACCAAAAACTATCAAAAAGCTGGGAAAAAAGATCTGCCAAAAGCTGGAAGGTTTTGGTGGCAGCCTTCTGCCAGCTTTTTAGCACCTTTTCTGCGGCATTTCAGATTAGGAGGATTCATCTTCCAGGTAGCTTGTATTTGTCGTTTACTTATCTTCATTCTCAAATGAATTATCTGTTTTCTGTAAGCAATGACCCCTCTAAGCTTAGTGGTTCGAGCCAGAATAATGCTGGCACATCTGTACTAGCGCTCTGCTATGGCATGTTTACGGATGCTTCAGAGCTGGAGGGCAAACCGAATGAGGTCTCCTTAGTAAGTAAGCAAAATTTGGTGCGATTTAAACCATTGGCCAGCTGGGTCGGCATCCTCCACAACCAGAAACAACAAAGAAGCACATCCTTTTCAATAATCATCAGCTTCAATGCGCACCTGTTATAGAATTACTACTGCTGAGGCAGCCTGCGAATCATTGCATCTGTCTCCTCCCTACAGAACAAGGCATGAAGTCAAAAAAAACATTTCCTCTTTTCCCAAGCACACACGCGATATCCCCCCAGCGCACATGCTTGTCCGACTGTGGATTCATGCCATTCGACCTTTGCGTAACATTCCCTGACTCACGAGAAAGCGCACTTCCAGCTTCAGCTGGGAAAGCATGCAGCCTTCACAAAACACCCTGCATCTACCTTGGCTTAAAAGGAGCTAGCAAATACCTCCTGGGGTCATACAGTGCGCCGACAGAAAAAACTCGGGAGCCATCCACGCGCCTTCCTGCCGACGACCTCGAGTCCGCAGGAAAGAATGCATGCTGTTGGCTTTGTGTTGAACAGCCCCTGTTCTGACCATGCATCCACAGCCACAAGCCAAAACATGAGTTCCATTACTTGTGGGCCTTTGGTTCTGCGTAGACTGTCAGCAGCAGTGACGTACAGGAATGAGAGGTTTAACCTCCTAAACTTACAACCAAGTCTTCGGTCGGCGTCCTCCACCAAGCTTCCAGGACCAGAGGTTCCCTGAACAGCGTATGCCGAAACCTTACAGCCACCAACATTGTGCAGGCAAAAGAGGCACTAGACAGGAGCGAAGGACAAAACAATAGAGTCAAAAGCGCGTCCTACACAAGGACAGCATTTGAGACATCTGCCGCTGCAGGAGTTGTAAATTCTCGCAGCAGTTCCAGCCTCAGAGCACAAGGCTCAGCCAGGCTGCGGCTGAAGAAGTCGGAAAATTCAGGCACCCAGCTCTTTCGGAGGACAGTCATCAGGATCCATCAGTACAAGCTGCAGGGACATGGAGGTCAGATCAGATATTGGCCACAAGCTGATGTGACTTGACAACCCAAAGGCTGCACACTTGCCTCTTGCGCTGCCACGGGCGAAGGCTCCTGCAAGACCTCAGCGAGGCTCCAAGAAAGTAGTTATGTTGAGGTCAACATAGCGGCACTCTACTAGACTACTAGACGAAAAGCTGTTCGATTCAACAGTCATGCACCTGAAATTGCCCCATGCACATCTACCGCATCATGTCAATTTTGCTGCCTTATTTTGCTGGCTCTCACACGCGAATGGAATCAGCTTGGGATCCAGCAGAAGCCAGTGAGCTGTAGTCGTAGCCAAACCTGTGGACGATGCTGCCGGGTTAGCTTCATTAGCCAATGACGGCATCCACCAAACGACACCCAAATCCAGCCTTCGCTGAAACTGTTCACAAACTGCTTTGAGCACCCATCCTGCGACATCAATTTCAAGGTTTCTATTTTCGCAGCATGCATTCTCTATGGGACGCGGGCCAACAGGTGGCTGCGGATCATCCTGCATGACTCTTTCTGCATGCCCCAGCACCTCGCGCAATCACGTTGACTGCTGACATCTGTCACCAGAAAGCCTTGGAGATAGCAGCCTGCCTCAATGAAGACGGCCTCTCGGGGCGATCTTTCTAGCAGTCTCCCTTGCTGAGAAATTTTGGGTGACGATGGGGCGTGCCTCGTCCGCCTCACCCACAATGCCGAGAAGACTGATCCTGAGGCTCCAAATTGGGTCTTCACCAGACCACTTCATGTGCTAAGCAGGACGCGGAGCTTTTTGAAGCTTCGGGCGCTGGGTCGAAGCCGATTTGGACTTATGCTGCACCCGCCATAGTAAGCAATTCCGAGGCCAACTTCCGACAGTAGAAAGCTCGAGGCACTGGGGGCAGCTGTGCCAATTTCTCTATGCCTTTTGCTGCTTCTTGAGCAGGTAGGAGTTCCCGATTTGCCCAAACATCTTTGGGATCATGCAGTGAGGTCAACTCGGGACGCAGCAAGAATGTGTTTACGCTTATGCTGGCACGATTGGTTCCAGACTGGAGTGCCTCAGTACAATGAGGCCAGAAGGCAGGGATGAATAGCACGTCGCCGGCGTTGAGTACAGCTTCAAAGCGACGGCCCCAAGCAGCACTCGCTAATGGAAACTCTCGCCAAACTTTTGCGTGTCCTCCGTATGCGAGCAATCGGCTTCCTATGGATGAGGAAGAGCCTGACACATACAGGCGGTCAATGTCGTCAGGATGGAAGACAACGACGCGCTTACGCCCTCGTATACAACACAGGAAATTGTCACAGACATCATAGTGCAACCACATGCACAAACCTGTGCTGGCTATTCTGAGAACACTGGAGTGAACCTGGAACGGCCCAACCAACTGATTTGGCATGCTGAAGTCTTCCCCAATGGTGCCAATGGCGTCTAAACTGGAAGCTTTGTTTCGCTTCTGGTGTTGCGAGCGGTAGTAGAGAAAGCTGCCCTCAGTCAGCGACTGAACGCGCTGCAGAAAGCCTTGAAAGGTTAAGATCTCATAGGCGAAATTCTTGTTTGCAAAGTCCAGGAAGCGTGAGCTGGAGACGTGCACTGATATCTTGTTGCCACCCACTGCATTTTGCAAGTATTCGTCTGACCAACGCTCAACACAACTTCCAAGAGGTACTCCTTGCAGCAACAGCGGACACTGCAATGACAGGGGGTTGGCGCCTGACTTTACCCAATCAATCCACTGTTTGTTATCTACTCGCTGTGGCTTCGCTTGCCTTCGTCTCCATACGCAAAAAAGCAAAAGGCTCCCAGCCGCACTCGTCAGGACAAGCCATCCTGGTTTTTCCATTGCTGCGGTATTTAACAGCAAGGGGTATGCTTTTACATCCTAACACGACAGCTTCGACGGACTTAAAAACCAGAAAGGCGCTTTGGTATGACAAATCCTTACGCTTGTTACAAGTCAAATGCTGCTGAGCTGAGGAACGTCTCACCGATCTTTGAGAAATGCTGCTCAGAGATCAGCACAATCATCACGATTTTTATGTATGTAAATGTTACGGTGGATACTGAGTGCATGTCTGTATGTCTCTGCAGAAAAGTTGATCATCATGGTGAGCCAAAAAAAGGTTTCTAGCCTAATTACGAGACATAAGCTGCGGATATGACACGTGTCCTTTAGAAGCGGGTGCCCCTCGAGGGAGGTGATTCTAAAGGGGCTGAGCGTTTCAATGCGTTCCTGTGTAGGCTAATAGGCAAGCTGAGTCATGAACATCTTGGCCAAAAGCGCATGGAGAACCTTCAGCCGGACCTCAGGCAAGATGATGCTTGGCAATGGATAGCCCCTTCTCGTATCCAGACTGAGGAAGGAGCTTCAGCAACCTCGACTTCTTTCCAGTGCGACACACCAGATCCTCTCACCCCGAGTTCGTCTGATGTTTGCAGTGTGCCTGCAAGCAGGATGATGTCGGAGGACCGAGCTGCTGTTCTCAGCTCACGGCGGAGGCTCTGGAGTCTGTGAAGCCGCTGCTCAACAGCAGACACGAGCAGACTGAAGTCGTGGCCGCGTAAATCCAGAGCCACCACCCGTTGTAGCAGCAAGTCAATATCTTCGATGCTGGTCCAGCTTAGTGCCGACTGCAAGTCACCGAGCATTGTCTGCAGCAGCTTCAGCTTCTCAGCAGCTTTAACGCACTCTGGCCAGTGTTCCACTTGCAGAGCTTTGGCACGTGTCAAAATGACCAGTAGGTCAGGAATCGAGCATCCCTGGGTTGCCTGAACAAGCTCTGTAAACAAGCCCTTATTATGGCTCCAACGCCCGGACTTTTCAGGAACAAGCTGCTGGAGACCGGCTCGAGCGAGCATGCCACGCACATGGCCGCCTTTCAGCCGTTCAGAGCGTTCCACCCGGATGGGTTTCAGAGTTTTTGGAGGAGTCGGAATGTGCAGAGAGCCCTTTTGAGGCGAGGCCGGCTCCACATTTCGCCCAGGCAGCGGCGGTGCCAGGAATCTGCCGAGTCTCGTATCATCAGGCCGCCGCAGGCTCGACTTGGCCATGATCCTATCTAGCCATTCGGCTATGAACTTGTAGTTGACCTCTTTTTTGATAATCTAACAAGTTCTAGGTAATGATGTCTGCGACGTGTCTTGTCGATCTGGGAGTCCTTCACGCTGCAGCATGCAACCATGAACTGTGAACAAAAATCAGCTGCATGCCAAGGCGCAGAAACACCTATGGCCAACAATTACTAGCGAAATGAGCTTAGACAAGCAAAGAAAGAGCTTTGTCCTTGCTTGGCACTTTGGCTGTGGAGGGGGCCTGCTGGCCGCGGGTAAGGGCACAAGGTGGGGCTTGAATAAAAGGGCTCCGGGCAGTGCCCCACTTCAGTCATGAGCTTCAGTAGCAGCCCGTCACGTGTCTGTTGCTGCTGAAGACCAGGTTCGTATAGATCAGTCGGCGCTTGCTCTCTGGAGCTGTGCGCATGAGGATGTGCTAAGAGCAGGCAGCGCATGGCACTCTTTATCCAGATTAGGGTTTAAGGGTCCAGGGTCGAGGGAGCTCTTGCAAACATTTTCTTGAAAAAGCCTGCAAACTTCATGCAGAGTCTGGGTAACTTAAGCTGTTTGCGAATATGAGACGGACATGCCACAGGGCATCAGTCCAGGAAACCTACCTCCATCACCGGGCTGCACAGCCCGTTGCAAAGGATCTTCACCTGCAAGTCGTTTGAGACAGTCAAGTCAGCAAAGCCAAAAACCTTCCAGCTTCTGAGAAAGCAGCACACTTCCCAGTCGAAACATCCCAAATCCTGTAGATGAAACAGAGCTCCGCAAAGGCATGCTTCTTGCCATCTACAAACTGAAATGGGGGGCCTTGCAGTACGGTCGTCTCCTCCCGTAACGATCTGCTTGCCATCCTTTGCGTGGTGTTGGCTAAGGTTAACGCCACAACTCAACTCATGAGTCGCGCTCAAGCCAGTTCATCTTAGCGGCTCTTGAAAATGCCACAGCATTTACTGCCCACCTGCAAACCAGAACTTTGCGAAGCTTGACGAGATCAACACTTCCTGGCCTGTGTCCTTCAAGAACCTGAATGCAGGCTCCTCTGGTACAGTCACCCAGTCTCATTCAACGACAATCGCCCGACTTTGTTGCATTGCAGAGACGAGACAAACCGTTTTATGTTGAGGGAATATGACTTGAGTACCATCGAGCTACTGGGCGGCTCGAGTTTCTTTTCTGGAACAAAATAAAAAGAGTCACTCAGGATCCTGTAGCTGCATCCCAAATTCTTGCCGTCGCGTCAGCTGAACCTGTGACAACCTCAGTCAATCCCAGTGCCATGAAGTCTTTGGGGCTCAGAGCGTCAGCTGAACCCTGGAGTTTCTTCAAGGTGTCAAGGCAGCAGCAAAGCTTTTGAAACTGGTCTCAAAGGTACCGGCGAGCGTGGCGTCGATAGAAAAGGCAGCACAAAGAACCTGGTCGGACGAGCGCACACTGCAGCGCAATGCTCCTGCATGGTCTCATGATCTGTTGGCGAGACCTCGTCCGTGTGGCCTTCGAGTTTGAGCTGGCACTTTCCATCGCGCGCATTCCACACCCTCGCCTTGTTCCAACGAAGTGGTCCGGACTCGGACACATGATGATCTGCTTGCTTTCAAGAAGCAGTGCCATCCGCGCTCGCGGTCAACACCTAGCAGGAGGAAATCCGTGCCAAAAGAACCCTCCAGAATTTTCCTTTTGGCGACAAAGCCAAGGTGTGCTTCCAACTCAGTGCCATGCTTGACGGCCGTCGCAAGAAAAACAGGCTTGACCTTTTTTTTGCGACAAAGGCGCAAAGACAGGATCCGGTCGAGGCTCAAGATTCTCCCAAAAATACATTGAGTGGGTTTTTGTGCCAGCCTTGGGCAATCCAAAAGTTAGACATGACCTGCAGGTTCTGACATGAAGCAGAATCAGCAACACTTGGCGTGAAAGTCATACTAGGAATGGCGGTGGCGGTGGATGTGGTGGTGGCGGTGGCGGTGGGCGGCAGTGGTGGCGATGGTGATAGTAGTGGCTCTGGCAGTATTGGTACTGGTAGTGGTATTGACAGGGAAGCCGAAGTGCTAGTGGTAACAGAAGCAGCTGTAGTGGTAGCAGCATGGTATGTATGATGTTAAGAGCTTCCGGTTCTTTAAATTTTAAGGTTTAGGGCCCAGGGTTTGAAGTTGTTCACAGCTCAGAGTTTGGATTAAGGTTTAAGATTTAGGGGTTGTGCAAGGGTCGGGTATGGATTTGTCTAGGCTTCAAGGTTTCTAAGGTTGAAACCATGGGCCCTTAATATGGGCCCTTAACCCAGGGATCCTTATATACCTATTGTGTACCCTGCATGTACCCGTAAGGGTCCCTAGAAAGGCCTAAGGGCCCATGTCAGGGACCCATACTTCTAACCTTAGAAACACGCTTGATGCTGACCACTCCCTGAAACTCCCTGAACTTCCGTGTAGCGCTGTGAAACTCAACCCTCGTACCATGCTTAGTGCAGATGGCCTGAAGCCACAAGAAGGAGACCTGGTGGCATGGTCCTACAACAGTTGCCCTTTCACGATGATGTCTCGTGTTCCACCTTTGCAAAAAACCAGAGCTGATCATCGGCTATTGTTGTTGGGGTTAACAAGCTACCGAGGAAAAATATGAAAACTTCGACACTATTGGCTTATTGCTTGAGGGCTCAGTGTATGGAATGCGGGATGACGGGATGACAGGGCAACTTTAGGAATCCATTCCATAGGAGACTCGTCTGATGCCAAGCGATGGCACCGGCCGGCTGCTCAATGTCGGGTTTAGGGTTTAGGGGTCCCTTTTAAGATCCCTCCTCCCAAAATGAAACGCCCACCAAATCTCTGCTAGCAACTATACTTCATCAAGCTCCCACATGCATTGTTGTGGGGGCTTCCAATCCTTCATTCCATGCTCACCAAGTCCGTAGTAGCTGAGTGGGTCATCTTCACCCTGAACCCGAAACCCTGAACTGGGGGTAGAAAGAATCCAGGGTTGACATGAGTAGTATTTTATTTGGGGATATTATGGTACCCAATATAGAGTAAGATTATATCCTCCTTTATAGTAGTTTATACAAGGAATATTGTCTTACTAGGTTCAACCACTAAAAGAATCAATGCTCACATGTCGTCCTGGGGGCTAGGTTTAGGGTATTGACTTTCTAAGGGACCAGTATTGGTCCCGAGCCGAGGAGAACTCCTCCAGTTGGCCTCTCGTGGGTGCTACAGTACCCCTGGCTGTGGGCAGGCAGGCGAGCGTGCTGGATCGACCTGCGCCATCGATGTCGAGGGGCATAAGCGCTGCCCACCATCGAAGGTGGGCGGCCTATGCCATGAGTTTAGGGTTTAGGGAAGTAAATGTTAGTACTACTCTCCTGGGGACTTAGATTGGACCTTAGACCCTTAACCCTTTGGGATTCCCTTCTACTCCTATTATAGGTACGGTGCCTAAGCGTCAACCCTTAGTAGGGGTCCTAAGTGACACGCACTACCAATAGGTTTTGATTGGGGCAAGAATTGGGGGTCACACTCCTCTACTGCCTCTTGAGGGTTGAGGGTTAAGGGGTTAAGGGTTTAGGTACCAGTAAGGTTATGACGATTGACTTCGGCACGGTTGCTTACGGAGAGACTTGCTGTAGCGCGGGGTAAACCCAGCAGTTTGGAGGGGTTACCCTGATCCAGAAACCCTAATGCTGTAGCGCGGGGTAAACCCAGCAGTTGTGAGGGGTTACCCTAATCCATACCCCCCCCGATCTAGAGCCCTGTTAGGCCTTTATGAAGCCCTAGATAATCCTTATCCCTGAGGGTCCAAGTACCTAACAATCATATACTCCCCCAAAACCTGTACTACAATGACTAGTACCCAAAACCCAAGTACATAATTGCTGGGTACATGGACCCTTAGGGTATTAGTTCCTTAAACCCTTGGGGAAGGGGGGTACCTTTCGGGGGGTGGTATTCTAATCTCTTAAGTTCTTAAGTTGAAGTGAAGCCGTCCAAAACTCTACGGGACAAAAAGGTGCTGTTGGGTGGAGCCTTCCCTGAAACCCTAAAGCTTAAACCCTAAACCCTGACCTCTGAAGGCAAGCTTCTCTATGAATCGTGCATGAAGGAAGAGAGAGAGAGAGAGAGAGAGTCTCTCTCTCGCTCCCTCTCTGTCTCTCTCCGTACATCCTGTACAGGCCTTCCTAAGGGCACTGCACCCTTAGTTTCCACTGAGAAACCCTAAGCCGAAACCCGAAACCCCAGGCCCTTAGCCCCTACCCCCCTAAACCCTTTTCAAAGAGCCCCGAAACCCTAACCCAAGACCGTTTGAACAGCCCCAAAACCCTCAGCCCCTAAGCCCTAAACCCTAAAACCCTGAACCCATTTTAGAGCAAGTCCAAGGTCTTTCAGACACCAAGCGCCTGCGGGGCTGTCTCTTCGACAGTCCAGGCCGCACGGGCCTAGGTTTTATGTAGTTTAGGGTTTAGGGTTTGAGGTTTTGTAGTTTAGGGTGTAGGGCTTATAATTTAAGGCACAGGGTTTATATGCTAATGTTTAGGATTTATAGTTTAGAGCTTAGGATTCAGAATTCAGGGTTGTGATCTTAGCATTAGTTTAGAATTCTCCCTTAAATAGCCTTATCCGGATTAGTCAACGCATGTTATCACTAGTTGAGAGGAAACCGTGGCGCAGTATAGGGTTTTCGGCTTTAGGGGTAGTAGACCCCATGGAGGTTCAGTGTTTAGGCTTAAGTTGCTTGGATCTATAAGCTTTGCCTTTCTAGTATGTAGCGTGTGTTTTTTTTGGCGGCCCTATACTAAACCCTAAACGGCTTCG